TCACAGGCAACATGTCTTCAGCAAGCAAATATTTAACCCTCTTGTTACCCATTTACACACCTTATTTCACCCTAATTTAACACACAATCATAAAGCATGGACACCATTTGTACGTAACAAACGAGTTTGTTTAAAAACAACTATTCCATAGGACGACTTCTACCAGAGATGGGCATTCCGTTCCTGGGACTGAACTGTCGAAAGCTCACTTTGGAGACGGAGGATGAGAAGTTTTTTTTTAAGCAAGGACGGAGGTGGGTTTTCGTCAAGTCCTTTTAACTGTCCCTAAGCAGGTCAGGTACCCACGGACACCCATTTCACTCACGACTGACAGAAACACGCCCAGCCTGTCTTGCGAGTGTGTAATCCGCCAATACACTGCTTCGGACTACTTCATGACGTGCCGCATGTCTCACGCATGTTCACCATGTTTGTATGTGGGAGGGAGTGACTTCACTTTGCTTCAAGCAGACAAGAGGAGGAGTACTCGTCCTCTGTGCAAAAAAGTTGACACATCGCCAGTCAATCAGGTGACAAACATTGGTTGTGTTGGCAGCTAAAGGCCATCACCTAGATGACACTTGAACAGCTGTAAGCCATTCATTCAATCCAGCCAGTAAAGAAAGATGGCTGTGTTGTATGCCTCTCGGTCCCGTCCCACACCATATGTCGGACCCGTCTCCAAGGATTCGGGCCATAGGAAGCCGCGCACACGCACGAAGATGGTTGTGTCCCCCCACCCATTTGAGGCACAGATTTCTAAAACCAAATTTTTTATGATTATTATTGTATTTTATCGTAGAAGCTATTTTTGTGTGGTGAACTATTAATGTTGACTTGCTTATCACTAAAACAATAAAGTTATATAGAAACAGTGATGTCTTAACTGCAACAGCCAATCACGGCGTTACTGAAAATAAGGTGCGGTAGGCAGGCATATACGCGACGAATACTTCAATGTTTGCATGCGAGAGTCCTTCCTGCACATTCTTCAAAGTGTGGCACTGTGTAATGTGGCAACACATGTCATGTGTTTTGTATTTTATGGACGACGCCTTTGAAGTGACATAAGCCAGGGGCCCCCAACCTTTTTTGCCCCACGGACCGGTTTATGTCAGACAATATTTTCAGGGACCGGCAATTAAGGTGTGGCGGAAATAATACAACAAAATAATATGGTATGAGCTGCATGAAAACTGTGGCGTTTTCGAAATATAATAATAAACACAAGGAGCGTCTAATCTGGCCGCAACACTCCGATCGCTATGGCAATGTTTAATGCCTTCAAAATACGATACAACGCAAATTCAAAGTGCATGAAAATGACGACTCACCACAGCACCGAGCTTGATTTTCTGCAACCAGACGGTCCCATCTCGGGCTAATAGGAGACAATGACACCTCAAGTGTGTGGTTTATGTCTTGTCTACTTCGTAATTTTGTTTTCGTCGCCGTTGCTGCAGAAACCCCCCGTCTCACACTGGTAGGATGTCGGAAATAGCAACAGTGCTATTGTGGCCATCTCAGAATATTCAGGTTTAACTTTGATCCAGTTGTCTCGAACGTTGTAACGGAGAATCCGGTAGTTTTTCAAAATAAAACATATTTCGTATTCCGAAATAATTAAAAAGGAATTAAGGCAAGTTCTTTCTGTGCGGCCCGGTATCAAATGCCCGGCCGACCGGTACCGGTCCGCGGACCGGCGGTTAGGGACCCCTGACATAAGCTTTGCAATGAGCACCTCTAAGAAGATATATTCTCATATTTTCAGACACTGAATTGAGCATAAGATGTCAACAAAAATTTTGGTGTCCATTGATATGTGTTTAAGCTCTCATGGTGCGTCAGTGTATGGCATGTGAGGAGGGACATATTTCATTAGTGTCGACAGCAAAAGCTGCATTTGAGCCTTTTAATACAGGATTCCATGGGAGCCACAAACTCTTTGGGAAGCTAAAGTCAAGATACAGATTCTTTTCCTTTTTGTTGTCGATTCTGTAGCAGACAATTGATGAATATGTCAGCCCACCCGCCATATTGTACGTGGCTTAGATATTAGCCATAAATTCAGAAAATCTTATCATAAAAATAATTTAAAACAACATGCAATCAAAAGCAATAATTCCATGTTAGGGTAAAGTGCCCATCTCTGATTTCTACAAAGTACTTACATGAAAAACTGACCGTAAATACCTTTGCCTCATGTAGTCTGACCTCTTTTACCTCTGAAGTCTGACTTCACTTTAATATTCGAAGTGAAATGAAGAGTTATGAGTTCAATAAAAATCTGGTGATATGGAATAATACTGTGATATGTTTCGTTCGGGCCTCAAACGTTCTAAACATGGTGAAGCAGAACGGGGCCTGCAGGAATTTGGAGCCCTATGAAAAAGAAATGTCATTTTTTGCCACTTCATGTCCCCTATGTTCGAGGGCCCCCGTCAGTCACGGGCCATTGGGAATCGTCATCCGGGAATCGTCATCCCCTCACGCCCCGTCCACACAACTTACGGGCCTCAGGAAGAGGATGGGTCTCCCACCATGAGTGCGACTCTGGTATTGTCATTTTAGTTAGCCCTGCAAGGGACAGGCTCGGGAGACGGCAAACACCCACAAGCGGATATCTATTCCACATGTGTTACGACAGAGGCAATAAACCCACCAAATATATGTTTAAATCATTTTTTGACCATAGTCTACAGATATGATAACATGAAATGTTATGCGCTGAAGATACAGATATCAGTTAATATCATTAGCAATTGAGAAGGCAAAAAACCAACACTACCCTTCAGAAGTCCGCTAAATAGCCACCCTGATTTGCTCCTTCTCACAAAAATTGAACTGCTGTAAAAACATTTTATATTGTTAGACTAATAAAATAACTGCCTCACTCATTTTTAATTTGCTGTTACAATATCGATAAAAATAGCCACACACACACACACACACACACACACACACACACACACACACACACACACACACACACAAATCCGTGTGTGTGTGTGTGTGTGTGTGTGGTTCGCTCATCAGCCTCACAGAGCAGAGGTGCAAGGTTTGATTCTGGCTGCGGCCTCCCTGTATGGAGTTATGGAGTTTGCATGTTCTCGCCGGGTCTGCGTGGGTTTTCTCCGGGTACTCCGGTTTCCTCCCACATTTCAAAAACATGCATGGCAGGTTCATGATACACTCTAAATTGCCCCTAGGTGTGAGGGTGAGCGCGAATGGTTGTATGTCTATGTGTTCCCTGCGATTGGCTGGCGACCAGTTCAGTTCAGAGTTTTTTGAATTAGGAATCAGGAAACGAGCCAAGCTAAGGAAAGCCACTTTAATACAAATGGTATTTTGGAGCTGTTTTTATAAGTTTTATATTTCTGTTACTAATTTGAAAATAAGTACATATGAACAGGAAAAAAAGTTTCAAGTTCAAAGCAACCACGTAATCAAGAGAAAATCGAATAATAAAATAAATCACTCCCCGGCCTCCTGTATTATGTGGAGGCTCCAAACAATTTAGTTTCTGTCAGGGCGAGGGGGTTGCAAGCGATTTTCTTTTCCCCTGGATTGACAACTTTTGAGGCACAGCATTTCAACAGTCAAACATTAAGAAAGAAAAAAGGCATTGTCGGAGTTCAACGTTTTTTACTGTAGTGCTACAGTGTGCAACAAGTGTGAATGAAAAAAATTGGGCATCATTGTGTTAAGAGTTTTTGTTCAGTATAACAAAAGTAGGTGGCATATACAGTCCCAGAAGGTGGTGGTGATCGGATATAAAAACAGGTAAATAATGAAAAGAACTTAAAATGTACACAAAATCATTCAGAGTCGACTTTCATAACTAAAATTTGATCCCGTTGGGTATATCAGTACTGGCACTGGACTGAAATGTTACAAAGTGGGCACTGAACTGAAATGTTAGAAAATGGTCACATACATGGCTTTGCTTTTTAGCATAAGTCAATGGCTTTCTGACACACAAAAATACATCCATGAGAGGACAGCACATAACACTGGGAGCAAGATTGTCATCCCTGTGCTCTAAACTCTACACTCCAAGATGAGTTACAAAGGGGGTAAATCACACAATAAATACATTCTGATTTTTTTTTTTTTTTCAGAGTGTAAAAGCACTGCGGACAAATATGTACATACCTTCTCAAAGAACATATACAACAAATCAGCAAGTGTTTTTACATTTTCAAAGTTACCTGAACAAGTTGTGGACCAAGACGAACACCAAATGGCCATTTCAAAAACAATTGCGTTTTACCGATAGTTTCTCTAAAGGCCAGAAAGATTGGGCTTGGAGGGCTTATGGCTCTGGCTGTTTGTGAGAAAATGTCAGTACTTGTTAGCCAATTTCCATCATTAGTCACTTGACATTAAAAATCAATGTAGTTGACCTTATTTACATTTGTGTGTTGCATGCTGCTCAAGCCATCTGCTATCGACAACTACTGGTAGTTAACAGACACAACAGATCAAAATTTGGTGATGATGGCTTATAAGAGTGTTAAGTACATTTGTAGATAATCTTTCAGGATGAGTGAAATTGTAACTTGGTTTAAAAACAAAATGTCAAACAAGAGACCTTGCGTTATGCTATCCAGGAGGCGTAGGCAAAAATGATTCCATTAGCCAAAGCAACTCCACATGCTGCATCCAGCGCTAACCAAACAGAGTGCTACACAATCGTCTCTTCCATTATGCCACAGTTGGCACACAAATATAAAGACACTTTTTATGGCTCTCTCTCTTGACCCACATTAACCTTCCTTCCTACAGTACGTGCCACTAGAAACACACACACACACACACACACACACACACACACACACACACACACACACACACACACACACACAGTGCTCCCTGTAAACAAGAACTCTTTGTCCTCTCGGATTATATATACTGTTTTGGTAAAAGTATGCTCATTACAAGACGAGACAAAGCGGATGTGTGAATATAAAACAGAATTGCACTGTTGGAAGATGTTCTTTTTTTCTTTTTCTTTTCTTTTTGGCATCAGCGGTTAAGGCCCAAAATCTGGAGTGGAAGTTGCACGAAACATTGACGCAGTGCTATACCTGCGCACATAGGGCCTTACAGTACATACATATAACTCACAAAAATATTCACAAACAGACAGTATTGCAGGGCAAGTAGATAAAGACACTAAGGAATGGTGGTCTCGAAATTCTTACAAATCTTCATTGTACAACTCATCCTTTTTTTTTTTTTTTTAATTGAAAGACTCTCTTTGTGATTCCTTTCTGTCATCCCTTGTCTCCTGTCCAAAGTGCGTGGGTGCCGGTGCTCTTTCAGTTTGGCTACACGAGGGGGAATTCTTTCTATCTGAAGATGTCTGACGGGCGTTGGCTGTGTTTATTGCTATAATGTTCATGCTATTCTTCTCCCTATAATAAAAAGAATGGGACTAAGTCCCTCGCCCAACACTCATCTGAGTTCTAGGCTCCCCCTCTGGCTGATTACTTTGTGCTTGTGGGTGGGATCAAATGTCAGGTCGGTGCTGGACGGAGACCTGAGGTTCTCAGGCGTAGATGTAGCGGAGGAGAAGATGTGAGAGGAGCACCAAACAGACGATCACACAGTGCCGACCCATCCATGAGACACTGTCATCTGCTGCCCTCTGCTGAGTGAGCTGACGAGTCAGAGCTGACAAGTTCCTACAAAGACAGGCGAGGGTTGCTTTTATTGCCAATAAATAGAGAAGGGAAAACCCTTCTGATCAAACGGCTCAGGGGCTGACAATTTCAAATGTTACCCTTGTCAGTACTTGCAAATCCTTACACGCGCGTGTGTGCGGTCAACACAGATTTTCGTCCGACTCCTACATTGCGAAATGAAACAACTATGGCCTATCAGGAAGCGCCCTGAAGCTTCTGCTGTTGCTGAACACAAGTACAGTGTTTCTTTGCCGAATCCCGATTGCTACAGTCATGCATTTCGCTTCTGGCGCCTATCCTTTGACATTCGATGAAAATCTTTGCAAATTCTGTGGTGGTGTGCTCGCTGAGACGCCACAAATAATGGGGCGAAGTGCAGAGACACAACTGCTCGCGTTGAGTGTTTGTATAACGTGTTTCCCAAGTCATTCACCACAATAACAAAGACAGGAAGAATTTGTAACCGCAATGTCGTAACTGGAGAACTTAACCGTGCATTTCTTTTCGACACCTAACTTTCTTCTTGTGTTGTACATTTAATTGTCTAAATGCCCTGTGGCAATATGCTGCCTCAAAAAGGTCTCGCATCTGGTTAAAAAGAGACGAGGATATCACCATAGTACACATACAGTACATACGCACAAGCACATACTACCCGCCGTGAGAGCGTAAAACAAAATATCTTGTATCTCCTGATTATAAAAGGCTGGAAAGGCCATTTGGTTTTTGTTTTCTTTGTTTGTTTGTTTTTGTTTTGTGTGTTTTTTTTCGGTAATTTATGCTGCCTAACAAAAGTCTGCACTTAGGTTAAAAGTAAAACAATGATTATGGGAAACATGTTCATAACATTATTATTATTATTATTTTAGTTATGTTTAAAAAAAATATATCAATCATTGTCTATTTATGTATTTTACCGGATCAGAGTGAAAAGTAAATTGGTTTATTCTAAACTACAATAAAACACAACTATCTTGAGGAAATTCAAAATTTTACCATTTAATCTTTCAAAATATTTGGTAGTGAAACACATTTTCAAGGAATTTACACAGTTGTCATGTACACTGTAATGTCTGGTCTACTGTAACTTGATTGCGGGCTCATTGTTGCCAGAGGACATGTAACTTGACTTCAGTGCACTGCTGAGTCGCAGTTAGCAAGATGAATACAGTACATAAGTAAATGAATATCGAAAGCACAAACTATGGCAATTTTTTTCCTCGCTATGTGTGGATTATTTCATAATAACAGGATGAGATGTTAAAATCCGTAGGTTTACTCCGCCTAAAAACAATCACAAAAACACTGCTGATGTGCGTTGCATCACCTCTGAATGTCTTGCTGCGTCTTCTGTACGGAGGCGATGGAGGTCTGGAGGAGGGCCATGTCCTTGCTGCAGCGTGCACAGTGGTTTGAGAACTCTGAAAACATGGCCGTTACAAATGTTAAAAAAAAACAATATAAAGTCAGTGTCAAGAATATCTAACAAAATACCCTCATCATGACAAACTCTTACGACACATGAAACTAAAAGCAAAGAGCTGACTTACTGCAAGGGTTTACTTGAACACTGTATTCAATCTCCCAGTGGATCAGAGCAGTTAAGAATTTTATAATTAGTCAGAATGAATTCAAGAACATGGCTAATATTTGGGCTCTGTGATGGAAAAAAAAAATGATCGAGCGCAAATTATCATCAACACCAAACCAGGCAATATAGTTCTTCAGCTGAATTCCCGTGCCTGTCCCCAAAAGAATGTCTTTTCAAGTATTAATAACGAATAATTATATCTTTTATGTGTAATTTCAATTGATGGTCACCTATGTATGTTGTCCTAGTGTCGCTGCCATAGATAGTGACCGACTGCGCATGCGCCGCAAATCGTGCAGGGGCCACAAAAAGTGCAAACAATGGAACCATAGCTGCCATCGACTGTAAGCTTGAGAGCGAGTTTTTACTTTACGACTACTTTACTGCAGTTATATGACTTTTAGCAGCAAAATAGGCACCAAAACAAAAATATGCGCCGCCAGATTTGATGTCGCAGCTCAAACCCAATGGCGTATGCCAGTGAACTAAGACGCACTGTCCCAATTCTGCCATTTTTTTACGCTTGCAACCCGCGCTCTCGAACCCGATGTGCACTTCCACTACGTATACACTTCAATGAGGACCATAGGGTGGAGTGTGGGTATTGGGATTGGGCCTCTGAGCGTGCCTTGTTGGTCTGCGTGACGATCAGCTCTGTGCAAGCTAGTTCAAACTAGGTCATGAGCTCAAAACGGACCGCCGAATCCATCGTAAGACCCCCTGTAGGAAATAAAGCTAGACAGGCAGATATTCTCTGAAATACTGATCTGAATTTCAACAATAATCAAGTTAAAAACACTCTTAAGAGTGCTGATTTGACATTAGATGTTATCTTTATCTCTCTCATTTGTTAGCTCACAGACAACCAGAATGATCGATTGTCACAAAAGGCCAATACCGTTTTGCATACTGCCATTGATGGCTCATTCTTCCAAATTATATCTTAAGAGCACAATGCCACAAAAACGTACGTTTGCTCCTGCGTGTATTATGAAATGAATTTAGAAAAACGAATGTGTTGAGCAAAATATAGAAGGTATATGTGTGCATTTTATTTCAAGTAACCATGACTGTGGATGGTATGATAAACAATTACCTCAAATCCATGTTGTTTGCTTGTTATAGTGTGAAGTGTGGATTCTGATTATATGAAGGGATCTAAGAATACTGCATCCATGGGAGTCGCTGGTTTCAAAATTTCCCCAAATGTGGGGTTGCCACCCCTGGGCCACCACGTAGCTGTTTGTGTCAAAGCCTCACCCTCATTATCAGAGGACTCATGTGTCGGTTCTGGGGTGCTGCTGCTGCTCTCAGTGTTCTGGCTGCAGCTGGATGGCTGACTGCTGGCTTTCCTGTGTGTTCCATTCACCTTAGCCTGGAAAACCCCCCAAAAAAACCCAACAAGATTTTATTGATCAATTGCCAAATGCCAGTGCTAACAAATGCCACCGCACATGGCTACACAAGTAATTCAATCGGATAATCCAACCAGTTAGACACCATGACTTGTCTGTCTCATGTAATACAAGTTGATTTAACTCCTGTATGTTTGGGTTGATCACCAAGAGCTTTAAAATAGTGTTGATATGACAATGAGCTGCTGCACGTGTAAAGGTGGGTGACTCACCTTGCGTTGGCTGGGCCAGCTGTCGCTGTAAGAGAGGCCGTTGTGCCGTTTTTGTGTTTTCTCCAGCGTTTGAATCACCCCATCTCTCTCAAACTGAACTAGACAACGCTCTGGCTCCCATGGCTCGGCTCTAAATCAAAACAAGATTGGACCGGTTATTCAACAGGTCAGTTGTCACCTGAACCTAAAAATGAAGAGACAGGTCTGTGCTTTCTTTAAAAGCGTTCGTACTCCACATGCTTGTAAGTCCACTCTGAGGTCACTGGGTCCTGATAAAAAAGTCGTGGGGTCCAGGGCTTGTCTCCCCTCTCCCTCGACTCTTTGCGCTGAGCTTCTTCCAGCACAAACTTCTCCTGTGTGGCTTGCAACTGGTCACGCTCTATGATAGCTCTGGTCACATGCTGCCACAGCCTGTTAAGGAAAACAGAACCCCAAAAATACTGACAAACAATCCAGAAATATAAATGTCAACTAACGGATGTCGGTTTTCCTCACCTAGCACAAATAAGGTAACATAGTAAAGTAAGCAGTAACAATTCTTTTAAACTAGATTGCCAAGAATAATAAACAAAATATGGTGAAGAAAATGCCATTTCACTCCTCCGAAATCTACTGAAGAACACGTGATTTACCTTTCAGACTCAAACGCTCCCTGCTGGTCAAAGTGGACCACACGTCTCTTGAGACGACTGCTACGGACATCTGGACTCGGATTCCACAATGTTGCCTGCTGTCCAGAGCGCTTCTCATGAATAAAAACCTCACTGTCCTGATTACAAAAAGTCAAACAAATTGCAATGAAAGGCAGGAAATCAATAAATGATGAAAAAGTAAAATTAAGATGTCAACTTTTCAATTTTACTATATTTCTAGGAAGGGATGGGCAAGATCCCCTCACATCTTAGGAGGACGATAGAAATACTATTTTTCAGCAGAGACAAGGAATCAAGGGGCCACCAACCTTTGTGAGACTGAGAGCTGCTTTCGGCATACTGATAAGTGTGAAGAGCTACCAGTTTGAAACACACTTCTGAAATAACCCATTTGCCCTAACCAGTTCAGGGTGTACCCCGCTTACTGCCTGAAGCCAGCTGGAATAGCCTCCAGCACGCCCGTGAACCTTGTGAGGAGAAGTGGAATAGAAAATGGATGGACGGATGGGTTTTTATTTCATTGCTTAGCAATTTTTAGAACAGGCCCCCAGACTACTCATGCGATCCTTGGGGGCAACCTGGTGCCCACAGACATCATGTAGGTGACCCCTGACCTGAGCTAAGTACTTTTTCTAGTTCTATGTGATATTTCAAAATCTCAAAAAAAAAGACTCAAGGATTTGGAAAACAACACCAGAAAAGCGGGAAGAGAAAGGTTTTTGTACCCAATGTCCATCGATGGTGGCAGCAAGCTCGTCCCCCTCAAAGATCTTGCCATTGATCTGATTCACAGAGCAGGGGCCTCCCAGGAAGGGCTGCAGTGAGCAAAATCACATTTTTCCCCTTGTAACTGATGCAGACTGCAAAGCTTGAATTGAACAGCAGATGTCGACAGTGTACCTTTAACTTGAACTCCAGCTCAGTGAAACATTTGTTTTTCTCACACTCAATGGTAACCTTTCCACCCAGCTCTAGTGTCATAGTGCCATACAGGATACCTTTTAAGGACAGACATATGCGTTACCACTTCATCTCAGAACGTGCACGTTGAAAGCTTTGAAGGTAATCCCTGTTTGTTTGTTTGTTTTTTTTTTACAGGAAGTGTGTCATAATTTTTCCAATTAATGTAGCTCCTAATGTTGCACCAAAGTGAAATAGCTAAGTAGACAGTTACCTTTGCAATGAGCATAGGGCATCGTGATAACATACTCCTCCTCCCTGCTCAAAAAGAGCAGTCTCGCTTTGCCATCCAGGATAGCAGACAGAGAGTTACCTACGCAACAGAGCAGCAGAGTAGACCTTGATTAGTATTCACAATGGCACCTAACCTGCCCTTAATGTAAAAATGTTGTCATTTTAAAATGTTCAATAGCTTTAAATGTTCCTGAACAGCAATGTATTAAAATAAACACAGTAACATCAAGGGGAAAAAAATGAAATGAAAAGGTTTTATTTTTGAACAAATGGTAATTGAGCCATGTTATCAAAATACAAGAGGGAATGGGGTAAAAGAAAGCTGGTATTCCACTTCTGTCCGTCATGTATGACTATCAAGCACTGAAGTGGACAAGAACACTAAGTGGAAATTACTACATACCGTAGAATTTGGACTTTGCCAAGATGCTTCCACTGATGGAAAAACCATCCTTCCTATTGCAGACATAAAAGGCAGAAATGGGTGGATGGTGCGAAATCTGGAAAAAGAAATATTGTGACATTGACATTGTGAGCTGGAGAGTAAAAATGGGGCTGTCAAGATCTGGCAGGCATCTTTTTCAAACTTGAAGGTGTTTCTGATTAGTGGGTTTGCAGAGTTTGAATTGCTGTTTGCCAGATTTATGGGTATTAGTCGATGTTTTCACCTGTTCAGCTATGTAGAAAGTGCAGCCTTCACTTTGGGGATGAGGCCAACAGCAGCGAAAAGTTTCCCCCAATATTGGGTTGTAAGGCTTCTTTAGACCCTGGAAAAGTCAAAGACGCAATCAAGAATATGTCAGTGAGTTGACCAATAAATGCTTACCACTAACTTATTTTGTAAATGTATACTTTGTCAATGATCCAATTAACTTATGAACTTACTGATAAACATGATCAAAAACTTCATTTACTGATAAACATGATCAAAAACTTCATTGTAATGTATGCAGCCACACAGTCTTCAATGGTTTCCAAAATCATAATTTCAGATATTAGCAAAACAGTTGCTTTATTAAACGTTCATGGAAAAAAAAATATTCATTCATTCATTCATTTTCCGAACCGCTTTATCCTCACTAGGGTTACGGAGGGGTGCTGGAGCCTATCCCAGCCGTCTTTGGGCAGTAGGCGGGGGAGACCCTGAACCGGTTGCCAGCCAATCGCAGGGCACACAGAAACGAACAACCATCCGCGCTAACACTCACACCTAGGGACAATTTGGAGTGTTCAATCAGCCTGCCATGCATGTTTTTGGTATGTGGGAGGAAACCGGAGGACCCGGAGAAAACCCATGCAAGCACGGGGAGAACATGCAAACTCCACATAGGAAGGCCGCAGCTGGAATCCAATCCAGTACCTCTGCACTGTCAAGTCTACGTGCTAACCACTCGTGCCACCCCGGAAAAAAAAAATTACACCAGCAAATGATGGTCCAATAATTTTTAGATGACTATATGTCTGAGTGAAGATTGTTTAACATTTGCTGTCTGGTGTTAAAAAAGAAACATGTAATTTCGTGTTGTCCTAACACTAGGGCCAATGGGGTACAAATAAATTGACGAAGAATATATCTTACCTTAGGCTTCTTGTAAAAGCCAGACAAGTACCATCTGACTACCTGCTTCATACGGCCATATGAACTGTCCTCCAGTGCAGCTCTAAAGGAGTTCGTAATCATTACGAAATATGAAAACAAAGACAATCAGACATTATGTTACAGCTGTACGGCAATACTGACTGAGAGAGCAGATCAGCATGATAGTAGTAGTCCGATAGCTTGTCCAGGAACGAACGAGGCTCCAGGATGAATGTGGGCAGCACCACCTTTGAGAGGTCCATGCCCGGTCGCAGCTGCTTCAAAATACCCCAGATCAAACCCTTATTTTCCTCTGAAACAGTCTCAACCTGTGACGCCTCCCCAGCCTGAGGCACATAACACAAGCATTACAGAGCTGCAAGTTTCTGAGCAAAATTGTTAAGCAGACAAGAAGGGACATCTAGTTTATGTGGCATCTCACCTCTGCCATCTCTTCTGCGCCCTGCTCAACATAAACTGTTCCCTGTGGCATGGGAGACATCGCTTCATCTGATTGGTCCACATCACTCTCCTCTGTCAACCTTCCTCCATTATCAATGGCAGAAGCGTCCCAGTCATCGTGACCATCACGCTCTGATTTGTCCGAAAATCTATCATGGTCCATGTGGTGATTGCCCAGCAGCACAGACTCATTCAACCTTATAGTAACAGAGATAAAACATCTAGATTAAAGTTATGCATACAATGAACTATTCAAGCACTGACGTTTTAACTTGTCACTGAAACTTTTGCAGACTACTTCACTGATTTGTTGGCAAATAATCTTTGTTGTGACAATTACAAAAAACGCTGATGTAAAAGAATTATGCACGCACTGTGAGCTTGTCATACACATTGGGAGGGGAAAAAAAATCAAATTTGTATGTGCTGCTTGTATGTTGTGTTTGTTAGTGAAATGCTGAATTATGTTGCATTTCCGTTACAGTAAAAAATCTTACATAAGACTTCCTGTAAAACGAAGAATGAGATTCATTCTTAGAAATAGGCAGGTAATTTGAGATTTAATTGATGGATTAATTTCAGATTAGCTGAGTGTGGGGCAAACTAATTTATGCTGCTTAGATCTGCAATTGTGTTATTTTGGTCATGACATACAGCTCTTGACCCTATTTGGGTGAAAAGGGCACACAGGAATTTCTTGCATCCTCCAGGAATAGATCTGGTCCGCTTTTCCAAAGCCAGGACAAAAAAAAACCCTGCTCCCATTGGCAGACTTTACCCGGGAGGCTGAGGAATGTGTACTGTTGAGCCTTTCACACGTTAAGTTAGAATTCAAAAACACTCTTTTCTTGAAATTATTTTCCATTGATTTTTCCAGGACCTTTGCATCAGCTGCAGTACAAGTCAAGTTATCACAACATACACAAATACATTCTACCCCCAAGCTTTTGATAAGTCTTATTTTCTCCAATTGTACCTTACACTGTATTTTGTACATAAAAAAAAAAGAAAAAAAAAAAGAACGACATGACAACTCAGCGCTCTGCTCTTTGTGCACATAAACATTATATTAACAGAGCTGAATTCTTCATGGAATTTTTGTCATTCACATATTTTCTGTTTTCTCTGACAATGGAGAAAGTATGAAATAGTGAGTGAAACGTTGCCCGGTTAGGCGACCTGTTATCTGTCTCTATCTCATCGTCATGAAACCTGAGATATATTTCATCAGACACCGCACAGCCGAAAGTGACGGCATGCACACGACAGCTTTCTGACACTCAACAGAGTAGACAGAGAGAGGCAGAAAAATCGCACTCGATATACGGTATAGAGCGACACTCTTGAACTGAGTCTCCAGTTGTCATTACTTGAGTCTGAAAAGTCAGTACATCCAGCAACAAAGTCATACATGGAAACACAGGGCAGCAGAACTGTTCTAAGGGTAGATGCAATTTGATTGGTTGGTAGCGTTACACGAGGCAGATGAAACCACGAGGCAGGGAGAAGCCGAGGGAGGAAAAATCATTTTCACGACAACTAAAGCTTTTCCTTTTTGTGTGTGTTTTACATGACTGGAAAAATGCTAAATCATTTTCCAGGTTTTTCAAAACGCGTGAGAACCCTGACAGAATCGTTTTCAAGACACTCAGTCGTGTATACGTAATTACAATATAAATATAGTCGAGTGTCTGTAAAGCCCGAAAGAAAGTAGAAGAGTAAATCTAATGAAAAGACATTTTACAGACCTGTCATTGGATGTCAGTGCACCCACTGCGCTCCCACCTAACAAACTATGACACCTTTCAACCAGGAACACAAATGCTTGTATTCAAAGAAAAAAAGTCTTCTTCCAACGTACGTGACGTTCTAGTCGAAAATTAAAACAACAAAAAACGGGTTTATCAGGAAAAGAAAGGAAACAACGAATGAGGAACTCAAATGGCCAACTTGACAGACCAGAAAAATCACATTCCAGAACAAAGTAAAACCATAAATAATCAAATCTGGAATTACCAAACGCTAAAATGTTCTGCATCAGGGACATCATACCTTCCGCTAAACCCCAAACACTTAATGGCGCATGGAAAATGTCATTCTATTCAAATGAATATGTTGTTACAAGTAAATCCAAGTACCGGTAAATTGGCGAGCACGTGTCCTCCTACTTACTGTACAATTATGTCTTCAATCGTAAAAAACGCTAAAAAGATTACAGTCCTGTTTTCTTAACAGCTACAAACCTTTGTTAAGGCTTGCTGAAAGGCAACACTTCTTATTCTTTTCTGAAAGGCACATAGCTCACATTCTTCATGACTTTCCTGCTTCTCAGTCATGTGACCCTGCTGGCTGTTGTCATTGGCTGGAAAAGGCTTGATGATTTTGTCACCATAAATTGAAGCCACAGAAAAGGGGTGGAGAAATGGCTGCCTTGAGGGATTCAAACAGCAGGTTTCCAATAGATGATCTTACCAATACCCCCAAATGACAAACCATCAGAAAGAGATTCCCATAATGCCACGCTGATGGACATACGTGACATTATGCACAAAACAATGCAAGTGATGCAGGGTGTAAACTGGGGATTATTTTCTATTGGGATGGCCTGGAGAGCAGCAACTGCCAACCTTTATTGAGCAAAGGAACATAATTTACATTGGAAAAATCTCATGGCAAATCACTGAACAAAAATGTCACAAAAATTATAAATCCAGTGCTATCTGCGAGGAAGAGCCCTCCCGTGAATAGCAAAAGAAATCTTCAAGCAATTGAGACCACGCCCCCCAAAAAAGGTTTTTACTTACCTATAGAGTCCACAAGAGAGCAGCAAAACCCATTTTGTCTCAATCTACTCAACTCACTCAACTTATTTTCTTGAATGCAAAACCACAAACATGCAAGAGTTAACTGCATTGAAATAATGACGATCTGGTCTCACTTTCCTCAAACATTTACTTGGGGTGAAATCTGGACATATTTCGTTTAAAACTAAGTTTTAAGGTGGATGCACGGGTTAATTGAAGTTTGGGCCAAAAAGTGAAACAGCATTTAATTGTTCCGCCTGCCACTATTTATCAATGGCACAAAGAGAAAACCAATATACATTTTCGCAGGAAATAAATCTTTTTCAGAACAATTATGTGGAATTGTTAAATTTGGACAACCAGCACATACCTGCTGAGTTCCACTTATGTGCCTGCTGTTGAGCATGCAGTAAAATCAGCGAGTTCTTACTTACTGCAAAAGCTCTGTGTCTGCTAGCGTGCTAGACTGCAGAAGATGGAGGAAGTGAGAAGACTCAGAATTTGTGCTGATGTCTGCTTCTTTTCCTGACTTGGCCGTGAGCTTGTAAAGGCTGGAGCAACTCAGAGAAAGCTCCAGAGCATCCATCCAGCATCGGCCTGAAGAAGCAAACAGTTTTAAAGAAGTGTGTGTAAAATAAATTGAAGCAGAGCTCCAGACTGCCTTTAAATGGTGACATTTTGCCCCCAAAATCTGGGACACTGCAAATACATTTTTCATCTATTTGCGCATGTGCGACCAGCAAATTTGATGATGTAAAATAAACAATTAAATCATTAATTAATTAATAGGCAGTAGCAGTTGACTTAAATATTGTTTGTCAGTGACAATCTGAACTTCAGCCCATTTAACAGTACCGTAATACAATGAAAACGAACGAAAATGTAAATATTTTATTTGCAAATCCATTTACAATGTTCGCCCCTAAATTTTCTACTTGGACCCCTAAACACTGCTATTAGTCAAAATAGTTAGTTTGGAGCCCTGTGAAAGAAGAGAAATGTCTGGCTTACACACTGCCAAACCCATTCTCACCATCAGACTCAGAAGACGCTCTGAAGATCAGGTAGCTGTTTGGTAAAGGCTGTGTGATGGAGCCAACAGTTTCTCCTTTGGGACCCTAAACATACAGATAAAACATCATGCAATACATCATGGAACTAAACCATAGCAATCATAAAAAACAAACAAAAAACAAACTTATTTTTAATCTTATGATGAACATCTAATGGATGAGAGAGAAACTGCAGTTAATATTGTTAATCTTTGTGGTACCGTTATGGTCCGCCATTAAAATTTCTTTCAGACCGACTATCTATCTCTTCACGCATTGTTTTTGCACAGTGTTTTACGTAGTGGAGAGGAGGGCATTGACCCAGAAAGGTCGATTTACAGTAAACTTGGCCATCAGCAATTGTTAGCCGATCAATTGGAGCAGCCAGGCATGTCTGACCTTGACAGCCCAAATGGACTGGTCCAGTGGATGGTAAAGCTTGAAGCAGAAGCCATCCTTCTTCGAGGGCCTCTCGATGAGCTTGCAGGCACTCAGCAGGACAGTGCCAACCCAGTGGTCAGTTTTGGGGGTCTTATAGATCAAAAGAACACCAGGTTTCAGGGCACACCACAGCTTGGTCCAACTCTTTAAAGAGCCACGGATCTGAAAAAGAACAAAGGCGACAGAGGGACATTTTAAATATCACACCTCATATAAAAAATGGAACACATGATACAAATCGCTATATGAACAGCATAAATAAACCCAAATATAAACAATATTAATTTCTACATTATGTTCCTACTTGTCACTAATGCACTGTAGAACATATAAATGCAACACTGTTGTTTTTGCTCCTATTTTTCATGAGGTGAACAGAAAGATCTTAGGTCATTTCATATGTGCACAAAAGAGCTATTCCTGCCAAATGGTGTTTACAAATCAGTTTTATTCCGAGCACTTCTGTAGAGATAATCCAACCACCTCAACAATATGGTATATCAAGATGCTGTTTAGGGGAAGGACTATCTGTACTGTAGGTGGGATCAGAAAAACAGTATCTGATGTGACTACTATTTGCCTCATGCAGTACAAAATAGTGTATCTCCTTCGCATAGAGTTGATCAGGTTGTTGATTGTGGCCGGTGGAATGCTGGTCCACTCTTCAATGGCTGTGTGAAGTTGCTAGATTGGCAGGAATTAGAATATGCGGTCATCTAAGCAGATCCAGAGTGTCCTAAACACGCTGAACTGACGAGCAATTCAGGGAAGCTCCTTTTATACCCCATCATGTTCACCCATGAAATTCTAAGTTAATGATTATTCGATAAAAACAACTTAATCAGCTTGAACATTAAAAATCTTGTCTTTATAGTGTATTCAATTAAATGTAGGTTGAACATGATTTGAAAATCATTGCATTCCGTTTTTATTTATGTTTTAAACAACGCCCCACCTTCACTGGGATTGCTTTTGTACAACAGCTGTTATCGAATCTGGTTCAAGAGGCTGCCGACTACAAAATACTGTCATTCTATGAGCGTCTAAAATCGATGTTAGACTTGCCAGATCTGTGTGCTCAAAGGATGTGGAATGGTCAGAGCAGCTTATAAATAAAACCTACAGTATTATTTTTGGCCATATGATCTCAGTAACAAGAGTGCATAGCTTCAACAACCTCACCTTTAGCCAGTTCGACATAATGACAACACTCGGGTCCTTCAGCGCGCTGAACAGTTCTTTGGCAGCCCGCTTCTTTTCTTGACGGTAATTCTGCTTTTGGACCTGTCAAAGAGGTAGATGACAGATAAGTCATCAAAGCATTGGATTCTGCATCGTAGAAGCAGAATCCAATAAAAATACAATTCATTCACAGTGCTGTGAAAAATGTTAACTATAGTAAAATAAAGTTTTTGTTTTCATTTTTGATTTTACACCGTTATTATAAAACTAATCCCAAGATAAACGGACATAACTTGCTTTTTTTTCTTTTTAAATTGTGTATGGCATGAGATCTTGATGAGATGATAACGACGATACTGCATGATGCATGTGTGTACCTTAAGAGACTCTTTTCGAGCAAGCTTTTCTGTCGGTGAGGGGCATTCCTTTTCCAGACCATTAAACATCCTAGACTCAGACTGGAGTACAGAAGGAAGAGAGGTAGGGTGCAGAAAAAACATCCCTCTTAAATCTCAGTGCGTTTAGGTTACAAATGTAATACCACTAGTGCAATGAGATTTATTGTTTGAAAAGTCCAGAAAACCTAATAACTGAAAATTGTACGATGTTGTGGTGATGAGGTAAATGACAAGACAAGGAGACGAAGATGAGTCATGTCGCTATTCTACCCCCCCCAAAAAAAAGAGGGCCAAACAACAAAAAGAATGAACTGTGGCCACTAATAGCAGCATTGTCCTTTTTTTGCAGCGGTAGTTTGCTCATTCTTCACGCCCTAGTCACAAAAGACACTGTGCTAATGACACAGTAGTGCAAATGCCCAAAAATATTGACAACTGAGTGCTGTTTGCCCCCTGTTTTGATGTTCATTCTCGTCCTGCACTATGTGAAGGTGTATTCCGTATTTTACGTGCTGCCCCTGGTAGTCTGGAGGGACGTCAAAGAACTCACCCAACTTTGCACACACATCTGGCCTGGCGAGAAATTTGGCATTTTGAAGTTTTCGGACACGAGTAAAAAAAAAAAAAAAAAAAAAATCCAGTGAACGGAGGGGAACGACGCACCACCCAAACAGGA